ACCACCTCAAAATATGTTTTCAAATACCAAAGTGATTTTAATTTAAATATACAGCACCCTGTTAAATGGAAAATTTCCTAAATTGTTTTATGAATCAGAACGTCTAGGCTCCAAGGACTACTAGGCCAATGAAATGTAAAAGTGGAGCGTTTCGACTGTCTTATCTTCCGAGTGTAGCCGCGATGTCAAACTGTAAGTTGACTCGTCCCTATCATTGTTTGAAGCACGTCCAAGTATGCCGGTGTCAGAATTGGTGCTGTTGTCCGTTCAACGGTGAACCTCCGCCGCAACAGTGAAGCACACAACACACAGTCTTGACGGGACAGGCAGGACGACACATCTCCAATGTCCCCACAGATCAGCAGTAATCGCACATGTAACAATAATGACAAGTATTAAAAACAAATTATGTTATTGGTAAAATGTTATAAATGTTTTTCCTGCAAATGAAAATGTATTAATATCAAGTGCATTTCACTATTCTTCAGCTAGATTGCGGCTGCCGGCCGTTACCCTCATGGCAAGTGCTACTAAAAAGTTAATTGATATCATTAATAAGCTCAACAATATCCCTAGGCATTTTTTAACATTCCAGTAACCAATACAATAACAAAAAATGTAGTTATTGAAGCACAAGTTCTGACAAAATACATACTGTAATAAGTTAGCCCTTAATTTTATTTTATGTGTCCATGTTCTGACGTTTAGTTTACTTTTTATTTTTAAAGCCGTAAGATGTTATTTCATAACAAGAGTAGAAAGTTATTAATTAAATATTTAAGATCACGTCTGAAGTGGAAGATTAATCGAGCACTTTAAATGGCAACATGAATAGATTAGCGATCACATAATTAAAACTTTAATTCTGTGGTCGCTGGTATGGACCCACTTTCATTGTGTTTTTAACATGTCAAACTCATAAAATGTTTCAGGCCATAACTTCAATTTAAAGTTATTATTTACTTTAGCAGTAGTAAACAATGTAATTATGAATTTTTGCAGGTAATAACTATGTAACGAAAACAGGTAATTTAACAGTATTGTAATGAAAATATTTTATTCTTCTTTTTATTCCCGCCACCTCCGAACCCAAATCTGTTCCTTATCCTCTGAATTCTTGAGTGACCCTTGTAATCCCCTGTCACCCTACTGTATTTCATTTTATTTTTAAATGCTGAATTTGTGTCACAAACGCTGAATGTTTACAGCTGTTACGTTAAGCAAATGGAGTTATAGCAAAAGCTTTAGTCTAGAAGGTTAGCGTCGGCTGCTAGACTTTTTTAAAATTAAAACGTAATTTCTAGAAAACTGAAACCCTAAACTAAAATTATGCCTTCGACATATCCTAGTTCTCAAAATTATCTTTCTTGCGACACAAAAATCGTGTGGTTGATTCAGTATCGTGAAATAAAAAAACCCTGTTACGTTTTAATATATACAAGCTATTGGCCCGTCATACGTACGGGAATCGAGTAGTCAGTTAAAATTGTGTTTAATTCAGAACAGTTCGTTATGCATTTTAAATTCGATAATTTGAAACCCCTGAAACAGTTCTCGGGAGCAGAGCATTCGATTTGTATATACATCAATGGTCTTACTTATCTCTGTGGTCTACTCATATCAACTAATCTTACTTGTTTCCTATAACCAATGACAAAATCATAGACTAAATCAAATAACCTCATAGTTCTATAGAATATTTTACCATACAAATATTTTTCAAACAAAGAAATTATACTAACTGGATATTTTACTATCAATTCTTAAACAAAATAGTCAATATTGATTTTGAATTGAGTTTTGAAGATAAAAAATAGTACAGTTATTTTTAATGCGTATTTCAAAAAAATTCTTTCAAAATCCCTAACATGGGTACCCTTAAAACGGTCCCAGGGCTAAGCTAAGTTATCATGACATTATATAAATATAAAAACATCATTTCGCACCGTATTGTCATTGATTTGTGTTTCCGACATCCCTGCAAAACACGTTTGTGGCGTCCGCAGGCGTGCCAACCCACATCTATTACAAACAGAAACTTTTCCTGTCGCAAATTCCTATTTACCATATAGATTTTGCCTTATAGCTTTGTAATTCACTGGACTGCAGCAATCATGTTTACCCTGAGTATTCTACACATTGTATATTACCATTAGAATACCTCAAAGTTGATGTGATGGGCTCAGGAAAAAGATTGTGCACTTTTCCTGATGCGAGTTCCTATCAACCATATACATTTTGCCATATAACTTCGTAATTTATTGGACTGCCGCAATCATACTCATACTGATTATTCTATACATTGTATATTAGCATTAGAATACCTCAAAGTTAATGTGATGGGCTTAGAAAAAGATTGTGCACTTTTCCTGACGCAAGTTCCTATCAACCATATAGATTTTGCCTTATAGCTTCGTAATTCACTGGACTGCCGCAATCATATTTACCCTGAGAATTCTACACATTGTATATTACCATTAGAATACATCAAAGTTGATGTGATGGACTAAGGAAAAAGATTGTGCACTTTTTCCTGATGCGAGTTCCTATCAACAATATAGATTTTGCCTTATAGCTTCGTAATTCACTGGACTGCCTCAATCATATTTATACTGAGTATTCTACACATTGTACATTGCCATTAGATTACCTCAAAGTTGATGTGATGGGCTTAGGAAAAAGATTGTGCACTTTTTCCTGATACGAGTTACTATCAACCATATAGATTTTGCCTTATAGCTTCGTAATTCACTGGACTGCCTCAATCATATTTATACTGAGTATTCTACACATTGTATATTACCATTAGAATACATCAAAGTTGATGTGTTGGACTAAGGAAAAAGATTGTGCACTTTTCCTGATGCGAGTTCCCATCAACCATATAGATTTTGCCTTATAGCTTCGTTATTCACTGGACTGCCGCAATCATACTCATACTGATTATTCTATACATTGTATATTAGCATTAGAATACCTCAAAGTTGATGTGATGGGCTTAGGAAAAAGATTGTGCACTTTTCCTGATGCGAGTTCCTATCAACCATATACATTTTGCCATATAACTTCGTAATTCACTGGACTGCCTCAATCATATGTATACTGAGTATTCTACACATTGTATATTACCATTAGAATACATCAAAGTTGATGTGATGGACTAAGGAAAATGATTGTGCACTTTTTCCTGATGCGAGTTCCTATCAACCATATAGATTTTGCCTTATAGCTTCGTAATTCACTGGACTGCCGCAATCATACTCATACTGATTATTCTAAACATTGTATATTACCATTAGAATACCTCAAAGTTGATGTGATGGGCTTAGGAAAAAGATTGTGCACTTTTCCTGACGCAAATTCTTATCAACCATATAGATTTTGCCTTATAGCTTCGTAATTCACTGGACTGCCTCAATCATATTTATACTGAGTATTCTACACATTGTATATTACCATTAGAATACATCAAAGTTGATGTGATGGACTAAGGAAAAAGATTGTGCACTTTTTCCTGATGCGAGTTCCTATCAACCATATACATTTTGCCTTATAGCTTCGTAATTCACTGGACTGCCTCAATCATATTTATACTGAGTATTCTACACATTGTACATTACCATTAGATTACCTCAAAGTTGATGTGATGGGCTTAGGAAAAAGATTGTGCACTTTTTCCTGATACGAGTTACTATCAACCATATAGATTTTGCCTTATAGCTTCGTAATTCACTGGACTGCCTCAATCATATTTATACTGAGTATTCTACATATTATATATTACCATTAGAATACATCAAAGTTGATGTGATGGGCTTAGGAAAAAGATTGTGCACTTTTCCTGATGCGAGTTCCTATCAACCATATACATTTTGCCATATAACTTCGTAATTCACTGGACTGCCTCAATCATATGTATACTGAGTATTCTACACATTGTATATTACCATTAGAATACATCAAAGTTGATGTGATGGACTAAGGAAAATGATTGTGCACTTTTTCCTGATGCGAGTTCCTATCAACCATATAGATTTTGCCTTATAGCTTCGTAATTCACTGGACTGCCGCAATCATACTCATACTGATTATTCTAAACATTGTATATTATCATTAGAATACCTCAAAGTTGACGTGATGGGCTTAGGAAAAAGATTGTGCACTTTTCCTGACGCAAATTCTTATCAACCATATAGATTTTGCCTTATAGCTACGTAATTCACTGGACTGCCTCAATCATATTTATACTGAGTATTCTACACATTGTATATTACCATTAGAATACATCAAAGTTGATGTGATGGACTAAGGAAAAAGATTGTGCACTTTTTCCTGATGCGAGTTCCTATCAACCATATAGATTTTGCCTTATAGCTTCGTAATTCACTGGACTGCCTCAATCATATTTATACTGAGTATTCTACACATTGTACATTACCATTAGAATACCTCAAAGTTGATGTGATGGGCTTAGGAAAAAGATTGTGCACTTTTTCCTGATACGAGTTACTATCAACCATATAGATTTTGCCTTATAGCTTCGTAATTCACTGGACTGCCTCAATCATATTTATACTGAGTATTCTGCACATTGTGTATTACCATTAGAATAGCTCAAAGTTGATGTGATGGGCTTGGGAAAAAGATTATGCACTTTTTATGTTCGGAGTTTTAATTGTTCGCGTTATGTTTAGCCTTAGCTACGTATAATGTACAGTACGGTCTCAAATATGCCTTTTAAAATACGTCAAATAATTAGTTTTAACTTGTATACACGTTTTATCAATGTATTATTGACATTATATAAATATAAAAACATCATTTCGCATCGTATTGTCATTGATTTGTGTTTCCGACATCCCTGCAAAACACGTTTGTGGCGTCCGCAGGCGTACCAACCCACATCTATTACAAACCGAAAAAGCGCCGATGAAAAGAGCCGCTAACTTCACGACGGTGAAAAATTACTGTTGTCTCGTTGTCTGTTTGTTGTTGCCACACATCCACTCCACTTAGGTTAAGTCTGACTTTCTCTCTTTTATTAGTAATTATTGTTTTGTGAAAGATATGTTACGGGGCTGTTAACCATTAACCAAGGCAGAAATATTTTAATTTGATTCCTCTAACCATAAGAAAATGTCCAAGTATTTTAAAATTGTTCGAAACAATTGGAAAAAATCTGTCCTAGGCTCAGTAGCAGTAGTGTATGGGTCAAACTATGGTTATGAAAAATATCAGTAAGTTTTTAACAACTATTATTTTTATTAGATTGGTTGTAACGAATAATTTACTCGGACGTGCAGTAATCAACATAAAAGTATCTTCAATTTGAATCTCAATTGTTTTTTTTTTTTTCACTGAAAACTTAAAAAAACACCTAGAAGATAGGCTATATATACACCTGGATCCCTGTCCTGGGTAAAGAGTGGGCCTTTGGTCTAACTCAGAGCAGGTTAATTAAAGAATTTGTTAATTGACCTAGGTCTAGTAGAATTCTTATTGGCTAGCCTACAAGAAAACTAGCCCACATTCAACACCACCATGAAATCCTGAAAACCGAAATACCCTCCTAGACAGGCCTGCGGTTTGCATGTGATGAGCTATGGGCCCGAGGGATGATTGTGCCCCTCTCTCGCCCACCCTCTCTCCTTCAATTAACTTAATTCCTTGAGCTCCCAACAAACTTATCTCTCACTTAAACATTTATCTCTCGTAACTCTCTCGTGAAATGCCACTGGCGTTGAAAAAAAAGCTCTTGTGCCCCTGTGCCCAGGCCCATTTATAAAAGTTGCCCTGCTCCTAGAAACAGAGAGTGACGTGAGCAACAGCTAACACCCTGTATTCAGACTTTATTTTTAGTATTTCGACTATGTCCCCAAAGATAGGCTTACAGTAGACCCCTCTTATCCGGACGCTTTGGGACTAAAGTGATTCTGGATAACAGGTTCTCCTGTTAAACAGACGTCCCCTAAAACTCATGAGTCGCGTGAAAACTTAAATGTTAACTTAACTTAAATATTTTACTAAAATTTGGGAGAGTATTGTTAAGTATATTGTTTCATTACCGCCCACTTCCTGTCGATCCAGTCATGTTGAACTGATGTGCTGATAAATTTTTGTTGTTGTTTTTTTGTGTAACTTCTGCTGATTGTAGTCCGGTTAAAAGGTGTAAGATGGATAAGAGGGAGTACCCACTGTAGGCTATTAGAATAAAAAATCTCATCAAGTTTCGAGGATGTAGAACAATTTGAAAATAGAGAAATCATTTGTTCCTTTATTTATATTAGTTAGGCTACAAGGTGTAGGGGCCTAATCAGTGGCTATTAATAAACTGAGGTAGGTACAGTAATTTCTCCAAACAATGTCATATGTTAAACAAAGCCTATTGTAAACAACTTAATGGCCGAAATAAATCTTGAATCTATGATGCTGTCAGAACTATAGAGGTCTTGTAGTATTCAGGTTCTTAAAGTCATGCTAAATATACTTGTAAAAATATACTTGTAAGTCGGCTAGTAAGGGAAAAGTCAACAGCACAGTTTGTAGGTGAGGGGTGTTATTCGCTCAACTTGCATGTAGTAGTATATTATAATTTACTGCAATTAACTTAAGTTTAGAATATTGCGGAGGAGAATGTAATTGACTGTTCCAGTGACTGATTTTTGCCTTGGCTTAGATGACCGATTACACTTTCAACTAGTAGGCCTAGTGACGGACCTATGATAACGGTTATGTATTTTGCAGAACAAAGCAGTTGATGAGAGCGTTGTGTGAAGAAGCTGCAAAGTATGGAGAGATACCTGTACCTCCAACATTGAAGCCTCGAAATGTTAAAGTAATTTTGAACCCAGCTGCAAACCGAAGGTAGGTTTAGTATCTGATCTAGTGGTGGATAGTTAGCTCTAGGCTTGCACATTGGAGTGAGTAAAGCAATCAAAAGCTCAGTTTAGAGGTGACTTGTTATGTATCGTTTTATATAACGTACATTGATCTACCATAACTTTGCAAAACAAGGTATTATCTGAGGGTTATAAATTAAATAACCAACCACAAAAATTAAATCCAAACAATTTTTAGTATGCAGCCTATGTGTGAAATACAAATAAAAACCTAGGAAGCTTAAATATTGTTTGTAATAATCCATCTAAGTTACTGGTAGCAGAGAAAACTAGTACCTCATCCTAGAGAAATATTTAGTGTGTTCCATATCTTAAGGTGGAGGCTATGCTTGAGGTTTTTCCCTTTGAAGACTTAAACCCTAGGAATCATACTAACTCTTTAAAAAAATCAACCTTATTCCCTGCCCAAAAAGTTGAACAAGGAAGAAAAAATAGTCATGAAAGTAAAGGTATCTTGTCTGGAAATGTCACCAAGTCACTTTAATGAAAAGCCCAAGAGAAAAATACACAAAAATGTTTCTTCTCCAAAGTAGCCCATTTCCTGAACACTCCCCTAACATCTTTACCAAACTGCCCCCCCCCCAAAAAAAATTGTGTATATAAAAGCAACCAGTCTTTTAAAGATCAGTGATAACGGTTTTGTTTCTCTTGTGGCCATCTTGCTCAACATACTCGCTAAACTCTGCTGTATAGTAAAAACCTGCAATTTCACAAGACTGGTATTTATCTTTGCAATCAAACTGTATTGAAAGAAACAATCTGTCACACCAGGAAAGCTAAGGCCAACTATGAGAAGTACTGTGCGCCACTTCTACATCTTGCCGGGTACTCGGTGGACGTCATCATGACTGAGAGTGAAGGCGAAGCTCGATCATTGGCAGCTAAACTTAAAGATACAGACATCATCGTGGTTGCAGGAGGGGACGGAACTTTGTCAGAGGTATGTGTGGAATTTTACCATTGACTTTTGGAGACTCAAGTATACATATGTAGCCAATTTGTTATTTAATAGTCAAATGAGCCACTCACAACATGTGCTAATGTCACTGTTTTCTCTCTTATTTTTCATTCAAAACATTGGTAAATTGTGTGACATAATAAATGCTACAATTTACAGGAAGTAAGCTTGCTTGAAATTTTAAAGTTGGAAGATTTTACTGAAATCAGTAATTGGCATTAACACATTCTGTGGGTGGCTGTACCCAATAGACAAATTATTTGTCAAAGTTTTTCTAGAGAACGAAATTAAATTTTCTACCTTATTTTTTGTTACTGAGATTGTTGTTTGAATTTGAAATACATGAAAAGTGGTATAGCTTACAGTAAGTCGTCCTATTAGCTTGACACAGTTAATACAAGTTGGTGTTTTATACAAGAACCTGTAATTTACATATGTTGGTGGCTCAATTTAGTTATGTCCATTTTGATTTAAAAATTGGCAACAACTTTAACATGGGTATATATAATTCTATCAATTGTTTAAATCACCTAATATCTTCCAAGGATACAGGATGTAGTTTGTATTTTAGAAAGTGTTTGTTATTGGTTGTTTCTGTTGTGCCAGACGGTGACAGGACTGATGAGGACGTATGGCTCTGTGTCAGCCCCAGTGGGGGTGTTGCCGCTCGGTCGCACCAACTCTGTGGCCCTGGCACTGCTGGGGCGAGGGGTGGCGGGGGGAGACGCCAGGGACATGGCTGCAGCAGCCATGGCTGTTGTGCGAGGCCAAACAAAGCACATAGACGCTGTCAGGGTAGACATTGTTGAGGTAGGTACAGTAACAGTTTTTATATGTCCGACCTCTCACCTTTACATCCTAGGACGCAAGGTTCTAGCCTAGCTGTTTTATACATTACTTCAGGCTAGTCCTAGTGGGTCGTGGTATTATCACATGATAAAATCCATTGGTGATTGGCGGGAAGTCATGTTCTTGTGTCATACTACACAAATGACATAAGTAATGCTATTGAAGGGGCATGTATCCCCCTTTAAGCTGTGTGTGTGTTGCTTTGAGAAGGGAGGGGTTTCCTCCTTACTTGAAGAGGGATGTTGAATTAATGTAAAGTAATTTTTATACATAATATAACCATGGAGGGATAAACTAAGATATTGAAAAATCCTGTTGTTGATTATAAATTGACTTCACTATAGGTGAGGTGTACCGAAGGTGTTCTGAGTGTAAGGCTTGAACTCAGCTTAAATTATCTTACTTTTGACCTACGTGGCGCATTAATCTTGCTGAGCACCTTTATTCTAAACAAAACCATTTTTTTTTTCAAGACAACCAACAATTTATAAACATAAACTAACAGCTTTGACTATCGATACCCTTCACTTCAGTAACATGACAATTCCCAGTAGTCAATGATCAAGCAGTAGGATTTTGATAGCAAGTCTCTCACACATCTATCAAATATAACTCTTTTGTTGCTGAAACCTATGAATACAATGGTTACCTTTGAGATTTTAGGGATTGTATCTAGTACAGTCTCTATTATACAACCTTTCATTATCCGATCCTCCCTGTGGACGACCTAGTAAACATCCCCGTAGCAGCAAACCTAACTACTCACTAAAATTAATGTTATTTAAATAGGAAATAAATCTGAAAATCTATAGGGAATATTTTAGTAGAAATCAAGCCGGGTAAATGGAAATTCGCTTAGTATGCAGGTTTGCTGCAATGGGGGTATTTATTGTTTTTAACACTTGTTTCCACACAAGCCCGTAACAATAGAGAAAAATATCAACATTAACAGTAATGAAACAATTAAATTGTATTCTAAACTTCAAAAGGCATCTTAAATACCGGTTTCGGTTTTGAGATTCGATATTTCTGGTTTTGACCATCACTAGTTAGTTAGCAATAACACGTTGTTAGGGGAAAGATAAATTCAAGGAGATTTGAAAATGACACTTGTTATTGAGGATCTTTCAAGGTTCCACTGTAGTAGATGCTGATTTTAGGAAGCAGAGGGCGAGTCACCTCACAAGCCTGTGTACGGTCTGAGTGGGATCAAGTGGGGAGCCTACAGAGACACGCTGAGCAGGCAAGACCAATACTGGTACTTCGGGGTGTTGAGAGGCTATGCGGCTGTGTTGTTCAACTCTCTCGGCTCCCATCGGCAACCAGGTAACATGATAAACTAATGAATACTGAATACCAGTGTGGTTAGAATAGCAGGTTTTCCCGAATGGGAAAGAGTCCAAACTGGCACAAGAACTCAACACTTGAAAATATATTACAAGATCTTAGAAGTGTGAACACAAATAAATACTTTTTTACGATTTTGTCCGATTTTTCAGTGATGGCTCACGTGACGTATACACACGCTTGTGATGGCTGCAACCTTTGTTACCAGACGAGGTCAGACTTGCAAGAAGTTCAGTCGAGACGATGGTTCCAATATCTGGTGCCGAGCTTTACCAAGAAAACACCAGGTATACACATCCACTTATATATCATAAGTGATATCCAGATACATCTATAACTCAATGAATACAGCAAATATAAAATATCTTCAGGTAGGGTAGGCTACCACAACTGATGTGATATAAAAATTTAAAATCATTTGAGAATAAAATGATAATCATAGGCCTGCAACTTACAGTTGTTGGTCTTTTCCCTTTCAACTGTAAATTCTTTCTGTTTCTATATCTTAACGTTTTTCGCATAATGTACCAGTATAAACATTATACTTGACATGGTTCAATTATAAAATTAATTGTTCAGATCTGGTTTAGATTCTGATAAAATGTTGGCTTGGATTCTGAATGATTTATTATGAAATAGGCATAGGCTTAATCATAGTTACCTACTATTTCAAAATGCCTTAGTCGTTTAGAGCCGTTCAAAACACCTCGAATGAGCAAATTTTATTCCCATTTTTCTGGAAGGCATTTCATCAGCGATTTTGGAAAGTAAATCTCCCAAGTATTGTTGAAATGCATAGTTGATCATAATTTGTTGCTGATATTGTATCATCAGTTAGTAAGTAGAGAATTCCTAGATACCATCAATATCAAACTTTAGAGGAATTGAGAATGAGAATCGTTCCACGTTACAACATTGCACTTATAGACATTTCTTGGTAAAATTAATGTTTTAGACATTTCTTGGTAAAATTAAAGTGATAGTATCTGTTTACTCAACAATTTTGTTTGTTTGTTTGTCCATGTAGAAGCCCCCAAGAAGAACTACAAGCAGGTTGTGAACCCCCGGTGTGGCAAGGTATCAGAGCTGGATCTTACATCTCTGGACATACATGTCACTTGTCCGTGTGTCTGTGGAAACAGTCAAGGCCTTCAAGTTAGTCTAGGTGAGCCAAAGTTCCACCCGATAAGTTTACAGTAGTTCTTCACACTGTCATTTCAACTGTAGCGCTTTAGAGTCAACCCAATGTCAGTCGCAATCTTTTGGCAGCTCACCAATCTTAAACTTTTTTTTACTATTCATAAATTATTTTTCGGTAGAGTCTATTCTGGTAAAGTGGTAACAGCAAGGTTGAATGAGCGGAAAGGACCATTAACTTGAAATGAAAAAAAAACACAAGATTAACATTGTTTCTCCATTGCCAAACCTATCCTAAGATTTAAGTTTGGTTTTTATTGAATCTGCTGTTTCCCTTTCAAAGTCACCATCAGAAATATCCTACAAGTAAACCACAAAGGAAATGTAATATGTAAAGATAATACTGAAGTTGTACACTCAGCCTTATGTATTTGTGGCCGCTACATAAGTGGGACTATGGTCTCTGAGGTTCCGGGTTCAAATCCCACCAAATCACCAATGTATTTTATCTTTGTGATAATGCTGCAACCCCTTGGTCTAACCTGAAGTAATGTAAAAAACAATCCTGGGCTGTAGCCTAGCATTCTAGCAGTCAAAGGTTCTAGTAAAGGAAAAACAAAAAAATATGAAGATCGAGTAGTGGGGACTCTACTGTATAACAATTTCTAGCTATAATCAAAATATTTGGAAGACCTTTTGATAATAAATTATGTTCCCCTACTATCTCTAGGAAATGTTACTTACAATATTGCTAGAAGCTGTGTATTTCCAGTTTTAATATGACCTGTACATGTTGTGAATTTCAGGCCCTGCTAGTCTAGGCTGGTGGGAATGGGTGGAGGAAGGGTGGAGAAGAGTCAGTGGAGATTCCGCCTCAATCACCCCTCTGGCGGACGCTCAGCAGCTGGAGATTAAGCCTATGTTAGACAACTCTGCACAGGTGAGTCTTGGAAGTATTTGACAACTTATATTTCAACATCTACTTGACTCGCTATTACATTTGATTTATTTTCATTTTTTGCAAGATTTAGACCATCTGAGTCTTTTTTTACATGAAGAGTTCTACCGTTAGTCTTGTGTTTTTCCCCCAATAGTTTCATCTGGTTAGAATGTAGTTTTATTTTTTCGTCTGAAATCAAGCTCCCCGTCCTTTGTTTTATTTACTCTAAGTTTTCTAGGATGGATTTAGGATTAGTTGTGTGAAAAGGATCAAATTTGGCACAAGGAACGCAAAACTTTGCATTAGACAAAACATTAGAATATTTCACTGTCACCGACTCTTGTGCTTTATGTTACATTCTTAACCTCAAATTGTAGATTAGTTTGCCTTTTAGTGCTTTACGTTTTCACTCTTGTTTTATCTTTGATGTTGTAGTTTTGCTTTTTTTCTCCAATTGAGATTTGTATCACATTCATATATTCATTTATATCTGTAGTCCACTTGATTTTACTTTTGGTGTACCTATAGTTTTTCTGTGCTCTTTCTGCTTGTTCTAGATATTGTAGATTTTAATAAATGTCTATAGCATCATCTTCTTTTGTGACAGAGATAAAATTTAATAGCATTTTACAATTATATCTATCTTTTTTACACTATTTAAGTATATTACTCTGTACCTAAAATAAGGGAAATGTGTTAAAGTTTTTAATGATGTCATTAGAGTGTATAAAGTGAAATCTTTAGCTTGTGCTTTGATACACGATCAGGTCTTGATGTTGAAGAAACGGCGCTGTGAGACAAATTAAATATCCCCTAATAATTCTGTAAACTGTTTTACAACTTTTCGTCATACTTATGCACAAGTGTGTGCAAAATACAAGGAATTTAAGAGATTGCGGAGGATGTGGAGATCTCATTACTGTATTTGCAATAGTATTTAAGTAAGAATTCTATTTCAATTCTCTCGGTATCTAAACAATGATGACTGGTGAGATGTGTTTAAAAAGTTTAAATCAATAGTTATTGAAGATGTCATATTTATTTACTTTTATTGCTGTAATTGTAGCAAGCAGACGTCTTTAACTACATTGTTAAATATATTTTCAGAACAATGAAGAGAAGTGGTTGAGTATAGACAATGAAGAGTATGAAGTGAAACCCATTAAAGTCACCCTTGTACCCAAATCTGTACAAGTCTTCTTCAACGATCCTGTTCACACGAGTGAGTATGAGCACTCTTTGTTGAAATAAAACTTACTGAGAAAATGTGGACAGAATGGATGATAATTTGTATAACTGAAGTGATTGAAAAAAGTTTAATATAAAAAAATCTGACTCCTGTATTTGTACGAATAATGTTTTGTAAAATGTTATCATAGTTTTCAGTTTTTTACCTATGATTGAAGCCTACATTTTAGTTTTAAAGGTGAATTAACAATAGATAATAATCAGATGCTGTATATAATTCAAGGATATGATATGAGAATTGTAATTTATATGATTCAATGTATGTAGCGAGTGGCGAGTCAGTGACTCAGTCGGTAGTGCCACAGACTTCAAACCCATTAGCCAATCTAATCTAAAACAAAATAACCTTAACCTAACGATACACACAGAATATTTCAATATTTTAAAGTAAATAGGTTTTTTTTAAAACAAATCTCTTTATCTATACTTTGGATGACACACCTGTTGTAGGGATTCTATTAAATGCCTAGGCATTATACACAATGACTAGTTAAAGTGTTTAAAATCCTACCATTACTATCCATTTCATACTTTTCCTTAAAGCTTAATGCAATGTATAGTATCAGAATGCCTTGTATTAATAGCTTGCTATATACTGCCTGCATTATATAGGTTTCCTTTTCTGAAACATGTACATTGAAATAGTACATAATTATTAGATTTAGCGATGTAGCTAATTCTTTCCAAACCAGTAAAGCCATATTATGTACCACCCAGCATGAAGACAGATTTCAACCAGCACAAGAAACATTCCAAATTACTTAAATTACAGGTAAAGAGGTTATTACAACTACAGTACTATGTTATGTGATAGTTCCTAAGTAAATCTTATGCTTGATGCGTGATTATTGATTCAATCAATCAATCTTTATTTGCCATAAGGATACATTTACATATCATTGACAAAGTCTATTTGCAGTTTTCAAACCAAGTCTTAAAATAAACAACAAAATACTCTTACAGGCCAAATATTACAACTAACATTCAACTCCATTCACATTCTTAACTGAAATTAAAACCAAACTAAAGGACAATTTCTCCCAGTTTAAAATAATCATCCAGACTATAAAAACGGTTCTGAAGTAGATAATTATAAAACATGGCCTTAAATTTGTTAATTGAATGAAAATTTATATTATTTATTATTTTTTACTGAATTATACACTTTAATTGATAAAATTATGTGGCAATTACTAGTTTTACTAAGACGATGGGATTCTAACAGCGCAGTATTTTTAAAACGAGTGTTGTGACTGTGATTATTAAATTGAAGATATTCAGGGGTTTTTAATATATAAACAATCAGATCATAAATGAACAAATTTACAGCAGTTTGAATTTGCAGATATATAAAAAGAGGTTTGCAATGATCAGGGTGCGTCCCTGTCATAGCTCTTAAAGCCTTTTTTTGGAGAATCAAAATTTCTTTTATTCTACCACTACCACCCCAAAGCACCAAACCGTATCTCATGATTGACTGGAAGTACGCAAATAGGCCGTCCTTACATATTTCTTAGGAACCTGATTTACCAGACAATCTAAAAGATGCACCACACGAGACAATCTTGAAGATAAATAATCTATGTGAGCATTCCATGTGAGTTGATTATCAATTTGAAGGCCCAACAATTTTACAGCTGTGCTATTATTTAGATCACTCATAGTGGGGATTTGTTTTAGTGTAAAAATCATGTTTTGGGTTTTTTCTTCATTAAGCAAAAATCCATTCACATTAAACCAATTTGATGCTTTTAGCTTTGTTTCATGGACAAGATTTTTTAGTTCTGTTAGGTTGGGGTTTTCATGAAAAAATGTTGTATCGTCAGCATAATGAATAGTTTGACTCTTTACTGCCAATGGAAGGTCATTAAAATAAATTAAAAATAAAAGTGGACCAAGGACTGAGCCTTGGGGAACGCCCCATTTTACATTCTTTTCTTGTGACGTATTGCCATTAATACTTACTATTTGTTTACGATTGATTAGATAAGATGAAAAGAATTGTAGAGATGGCCCTCGAAACCCATAATTTTGTAGTTTGTTTATAAGAATTTTAAAATCAACACAATCAAACGCCTTGCTCAGGTCACAAAAAGTGCCCTGAGCAAATAACCTATTTTCAAAAGCCCCATGAATCTGACGAATTAGATTATCAAGAGCATCAATAGTGGACATTCCTTTTCTAAATCCAAATTGGGATACATTAAACAAGTTGTTCTCCTCAAAATACTCATTAACCTGTTCAAAGACCAAGATTTCAATTAATTTACCAATTACCGGAATTACTGAGATAGGACGATAACTTTGGGGTTTATCTCTTGGACCCTTCTTATAGACTGGACAAACACGTGAGACCTTCAACAAGTCTGGGAATACTCCAGCTTCTAACAACGAGTTTATACAATTAGCAAGAGGTACATGTAAACTATAAATAATATTTTTCAGTAAATTATTTGACATTCCATAAACATCATCACTTTTTGAGTTTTTCATTTTTTGAACTGCATTGATTACATTTAAAGGCGTTACAATTTTCCAATTAAATGCAACATCGTTTAAATTAAATTAATACCACCATCAGTAAGGTCTATTGGTGAGCTCTGCATTTTTGTGTTATCAAGCTGTAGTTTAATATCAGCAATATAATAAAGTAGTCGTTAAGGACATCAGACTCAATAGTTAAAGGAAGCCTCTCAGAACACACTTTGTTTTTCTTTATAAGATCCCATGCTGCTTTACATTGGTTATTGCTACTTTCTATGAGGTACACATTATACATTAGTTTGGCTTCTTTTATGGATCTTTTATATTGAAATCTCAATCTTTCATATTCAACATTGATGATGGACTTATAATTACTTGAATCATTTAAACCACATTTTAAATTATACAGGTTCAACAGTTTTTGCTTAATATACGCTAAGTCAGCTGTGTACCATTCTTGTTTGAATTTAATTTTACAATTTGGCTTGTTGTCATATTTTCTTTTCACTGGGGTCTTAAAATAGTTCAAATTATTAAGTAATATGTTGAAGACAAATTGAAATTTAGTTTCCGACTCCATATAATCAAGTTTTAATAACAAGTCTAATCATATGAAGCTAAATTATTACATAAATTATTAATACTACGTAAGGCTACTCTAAACTTAGCCTGTGGAACATGTTCTGTCATTGTAGGAACTGTTTGTTTAGTTTTCCTGGGTGGACAAAAATTAATAACTACTCCACTATGATCAGAGTAGGGAAAATCCAAAATACCTTTAAAACAAATTGAGGCCCTTTTTTTACAAACAAAAACCTTAGGTTAGGATTAGGTTACTGTCTGTTAGAAACTATAGAATGAACTTATTGCAATATTGAATGTTTTAATTTATGGTTTGTCAAGCCAAAGTGGCACTTAAATTTCAAATAATAAAAGCTGGTTGTTTAAGTTTTTTTATCAAAATATTTTTCTTTAAGTGAGTCCAGGCAAAGCGTAACCCAAACTCATTCTTTGTTTGTGGTTAGATGATAAAAGCTGCATGTTTGAAATCATGCTAGGCCAACACTATAGGTTGCCTGACATTAGCCCATACCGATTTGTATGTTTAACACGTTGTATGCGGCCGTTCCCAATCAGGTTTCGGTGCTCGGCGCTTTTTGCTTTTCGTATATCTTTGCTTCTCTGTCAGCGGTGCTTGTGCCTGTACACTTTAGTCTCGCGTTGTGTGACTTGCTTTTTGTTGTGGTGTAGGTTGGTAGTAAATTTCCCCATAAAATCCCCGTCTGGCAAGCTTAGAAATCAACTTGTCCCGTCTTTCTCCCTCCAATTGGCAATACAATTGAACCAGCTACGTTCCAAGCAGTGCTGCTGTCTGTGGGTATTTTAGCAAACTACGTCAATTCTCGTCGTAACACAGTACATAACTGCACGTTATTTGCTATTCGCCAGACCGAAAAGCAATCTGGGCCACACCTGCCGTTGATGGACCGCAGTGAACATGTTTAAGGCTACAAAAAATCATAATTTCAGTGTCTGTGTGTTAAAGTTGGAGTTATATTTAATTTTGAGAAGCTGCTTCCAATTCTAATCTCATTGTTTATAATAAGGGTAGGGCCAGGCCTACATAGTGTTTAGTGAGAGTACAACCATTGACCATCGGATACTGAAATAGAAATCCCATCTATATGGACCATCTGTCGCAAATTTGTTATTAAAATACCCCTGCCGCAGCAAACCTGCCGACTAAGCAAATTTCCATTTGTCTGAATTGATTTGCAATCAAATCTATTTAAATAACTTTAGGTTTAACGAGTACCTAGGTTTGCTGCTACAAGGAAACTAATAAAGTGTTTTTTAGTAAAATATTTATAGCTTAGTGTGAAATAAATAAATTTGCCAAGTTTGATCTAAATCTAAATATATAAAAGGCAAAGCCCTCACTGACTCACTCATCACTAATTCTCCCACTTCCCATTTACCTAGGGGGCTGAAATTTGGTACACTGATTCTTTAGGCATTAAATAGGAAAACTAAGTAGTTTTTATTCTGATCGGACTCTCGGGCTCCGCCCCAGTGGCTCTGGAGTTTCCCATGTTAACCTTATGATTTTTCATATTTAAAAGTAATTAATGAATCTTAACAGCTGTTTCAATTAAACAAGTTAGTTCTATTCTATGATGTTCAATAGCATTAAAGTTACAAGGATTACCAACAGGGTGCAGCACTATCATTTTTTTTAAATTTATGACAACAGCTAATTTGCAACCAAAAGGTGAGTGAGCGTAGCGAACGAACTTCAACCTGGAGGCGAGTTAGCGTAGCGAACGAGCTAACCTGAAGGCAAGTGAGCGCAGCGAACGAGCTCCAACCTAAAGGTGAGTGAGCGTAGCGAACGAACTTCAACCAGGACGTGATTGAGCCATGCGAATACTTATGAAGTTAAACGGGGCAAAGCCCGAGGGTACAGCTAGTATATCTATAAACAAGCAAATTACAAAATTTTACAGTATTCTCCATAAGAATAACATGGGAATTTTAATTTAAATTTTTTTGAATTTTCAGCTTTAGCAATAACCATACAAAAACACTTTTATATACTATTTCATTTGTTTTTTTAAGCTCTTTAAAAAGGTCTAAAGAGAAATTTTGTGTTTTGAGGGCCATAAATGAGAAAAACCAATTTTTAGCCCATAAAACCCCTCGTAAAACCCCGTTCCCATGGTCCAACCATGCTGGTTCGCGAACTCATTCAAGATTGTCCCACCTTACACCTTTCAACCAAATTTCATAAAAATCGGACAAAAATTACTCAAGTTATTGTGTTCACGGACGTATATTTACATATATACAAATTTGAACGAATGGCGTTTTTAGCCTCTCGGGTCATCAAAATTAAAAAGTAAATCGGTCCCAGGGCTAGGTCTTACCGTGCCACCTACGGTAATAGCTACTTCCCTATAGTGAAATTCGCTAAAAGAACACGTAGTTGTTTGAGGTAGCACAGGAAGCGCAAGGTCTAAAATTATACTTTATCTTTTGTTGCTGACCAGGTTGATGGGTCATAACAGTTGCTATAGCTCACCACAAGTGATTCCCAAAGTTTGACATGGTAAAAATGTTTGTGTATTCATTATTCAACAGAATTTAGTAATTTAGATCAGGGCAATCTGTCGGTGGCTCACATCGCAACTACGACGATTTTGAAATAAAATCTGACCACAAATTTCACAAGGGTGTATTTCACAAAATAAAATGTGTTATAAAACAGCTGTGTTTCACACCCACAAAATTGTCAATGTATAGCACTTTTTGAAAGCTGCACTGATGGTCAAAGTACAATATAGGCTTAACACGTTCACTGCTGACCGCTAGATGCCGGGACGGCGTCAGGAGCTGAACTAACGCTTGCCGCTGTGTAAACATTGCTGCCGATACACTGAATTACAGTAAAAACAACAGTAGTTGTACTGGATGGCAATGTTCTGCAATAAAACTGGCTTTGGACATAGTACTAAGTGATTCTGATAGATAGCAGCACCACCCAGGTTGCAGTCGGTAGTGTCGCTATCTAGCAGGAAAGAGGTGAGACAAAGCCCTGTTCTAAACGACCCTGGTGGTGATTTTGGGAAACTATATTTTTTATTGTCAGAAAAGTACATCCCCACGAGCTGCAAAGAAATATAGGACGCTCGTGACGAGCTGGCTGATCCATGGTAACGCTAAACATCGATGAACGGCGATGTCCCGGAACGTTCCTAGCTCCTGGCGCCGTGGCCCGTTTGACATTCCGGAACGTCCGTAGCAGCGAACGTGTTAAGCTCATTAATATTACATTTAGCGTTAGTTTGTTCTGAAATACTATTGAGTAAATGTTGTTAGTTAAATTTATTTTCTGATTTCAGCGTACACTTTATTGGAGAAGGCATTGCTTGGATGCTGTTAGATTTCAAAGTATATCTTCCAAGATGCAAAAATATCCTGTCATGTGTAACTATTTAAAATATTATAATAAGGAGAAATAAATTACAGAATTACATAAACTATCATGTAAGTTGAATTTCCTATTTTTACTGTTATCTTAAAACAAAGGCAATTAATATATTATCAAGCAAAATATGTTTGTAGTTTTAGTTTAACAAAAAATATTTTGAAATCAAATACTCAAAACCATATTGATTAATTCTTTACCTAATATTAATATTAGAAAATTACGGACATAATATGCTGTATAAATTTGACTATAAAAAATTGTTTAGTATTAACTATAAGAAACTGTTAAGTATTGTCAAAATTATTAGTCTGAATGGGAAAATTAAAAAACAAAACTTCTACCAAACAAGATTTTATTTTCTTCTCGGTAACAATACAAACGAAATTATCAAACACACAGTTACTGTACAATGCTGATTAAGTCGACAGTTTTAATCAGCCTTAAAATTATTTTATATCTAAGTTACAAAAATATACTTAATTGTACTTCCTCTTCTCAGTTACAATGTTAAAATAACAATCATCATCAGTGAAAACTAACTGACATGATATTATACAAATACTTTTCAGATTTTACATATTTTTATACTAAATTAATCAAATCCTTAATAAGATAGACAAAATGCAATGTTTGAGGCAGGTTACACTTGGTTCACATCTACGGATAAGTGGAGACGTTCTTGATCTCCCTGTAGAAACTGTACACGACCAGGATGAAATACAGATCGATCACTGAAACAATAGGATTGACAATATAATAGGTGAAGGACGTTCTAAATAAAAGGTACATTTTCTTGTCATGATTTTAAGATTTAACAATGATCTTAGTACCTTAGTAAAACAACAAAGTGATGCATAAAAAAATGGGCTTAACTACTAAAATATTTATAGAACTTTTGAATATTTCCACACCTCAAGAATTCAGGCTAATAATGACACTACTTGGTTCTCCTTTATTTATTAAAATTATTTATTTTATTATTAATATTATTTTAATATTAGGTTAATATTTATTAAAACCCAAGTAGTTGCTGAGAGCATCACATTTCTCTTGCCTAGTTCAAGCCATACTTAACCAAAAGCACTCCAGAAGGATTATGGCTTAGAGGTCTCCAGGCCAGTTTTTTTGACTTTGGGTTGGGTCAAACATTGGAGTTCTTGGGTCAAAATTGGGTTATTTTGGAAAGTATGGATAAAAAAAAAACATTAATTGTTATTCTCCAACAATTGTGGTGATTTTGTAATAATTTTCTTCTGCATTCACAGCAAAATCGAAAACATCTCCCAAAGTAACGGTGAAATTGTAAACATCCTCCCTATTCACAGCGAAATCATGAACATTTTCTGCACGCACTGCAAAATCAAGAACATCTTCGGCGAACACAAACAGCGATCACACACGGCGAATCGTAACCATTTTCTGCAATTACGGGGACATCATCATCGTCTCCCGCAATGACATCAAAACCGTCAGAATCAACAATATTTAGTTGCAAAAATAAAAGCTCAGCTTGGTTCGAAACGAAGATTAAGCCACTCCTATAAATAGCTCAACCCGAGATTTATAAAATATAATTTCTTGTCCATAACAATCCCGTGGGCCAAATTTGGCGTAACTCTAAACTTTTTAAACTACACCAAAATTGTTAAGTTCATTTTATAAAATAAAACAAATACTAATTCAAATTTTTGAGCTAATTTAAAAAGCTAAATGTACAATATCTCTGTTTTATAAAAGACCAAATTCCATTGAACTTACCGAAATAAATGAAATTGAAGTAGAAGATTCCGCCCTGGCTCACTGTCAGTGTTTGGGCTAAGTTGAGAGCCTGTTCCATTATTTCAGCAGTCAGCGAGACAACCACCCAGATCAGCACAAACTTAGCTTTGTTCTGAAACAAAAACGTAACACTCAGGGACATATTTCCGAATAGGCGGACTAGGCGCCCGCCTAGGGCGGCAAATTTTAGGGGCGGCAAAATTTTGAGGGTAAAAAATAAAAAAATGAAGTTTTAATAAAAAAAAAATTGTAGCAAATAATTTTGGGAACGGCAAAATAGCCATTTCAAATATTTTGATTAAAGTATACAACTATTTCAGAACGCATCCAAGTCAAACAAACGTCAATAGTTTATTACACAGCTGTGAAGAGTTGTCCGTGCTGCCCTTTTAATTGGTCTGGCGGACACGCTCGCCGCGGGAGCGGGTCGCCGTGCCGGCCGCTATGTCTAGTGTCAAACGTAGAAAACACTCCCTTCTGTTTACTTCATACACCACTACGCAGCGGCAGCACTATAGCTGAAAGATTCTTTTGCTAGGTTAAAATCAAGAAGGAAAGTGTGAACTATTAAATACTTCAAATCAAATCAAATCAAAATCAAATCAAATCAAAATCAAATCAAATCAAACTTTCACAAAACGTTTATACATAGCTTAGCTACAAAACAGGTGACATTGTCAAAATTATAATAAATACATTGTTGATCATCTTACATTCTATAGTTAAAAAAATAAATACAATAAAAATAAAAATACTGACTTTGATTTAAAAATAGTTTACAACAAATACTCACTAATATGGTAGTAGTTTTTTTCTATTAAAAATTTTGATAGATTCTTTTTAAATGACATTGTATTGGCTATATTTTTTAAACCTAGTGGCAACTTATTGTACAGTTTTTTCCCCATGTATGTTGGTGTCTTTTCAATGAGACGCAGACGATGGATCGGTAATTGAAAATTATTTTTAAACCTTGTGTTGTATCTATGGTCAAAATTATCATTTAATAAATTTTCATAGTTTGATTGTACCATTACTAAGGTTTTGAATATGTATAAATTTGGAACAGTTAAGATATTTAATTCCCTGAACAGCGATTTACAAGATTTCCTAAAATATGAGAAAGTCATTATTCTTAAAAACCTTTTCTGTACTTTAAAAACTTTAACTGAATCACATGATAATCCCCAGAACTCAATCCCATAGTTAATAATTGAAAAAAAGAAAGCATAGTAGATATCAATTCTAGTTTTGAGGTCAATATAATTACGTAGTACTAGCATTTGATAACAGGCTGAATTTAATTTACTAATAATATTATCAATACAATTACTCCAAGAAAAATTTATATCCAGTTCCAAACCAAGGAAATTTGCGCTGCCACTGAGTGGTATCAACTGGTCCTGAAAGATAATTTCTGAACTGTAACCTTCTTTTGACTGTGCGGTACGAAAATTTAATAGTTGGGTTTTATCTTGATTAAGTTTTAGTCCATTAACTTCAAACCAGCTTGCCAATTCATAGAAAGTTTGATTAATTTTATGCTCCAATTCAAAATGGGACCTAGCTTTAATAATTGCTGTTGTGTCATCTGCATATAGAATGATTTTTGTTGAAACATTCCTAGGTAAATCATTTATATATAGTAAAAAGAGCAAAGGTCCTAAGATAGACCCTTGTGGGACACCCATTTTAATGTTCTCCCAAGGAGACTTAGATACTAAATAATTTTTCAAAATTACAGTTCTTTGGAACCGGTTTTCTAGGTATGATTTAATCCATGTAATTGATTGCTTTGAGAATTTGTACACATCAAGCTTTTTTAAAAGTATGTTATGGTTAACACAATCAAAGGCCTTGGAAAGGTCACAGAAGACCCCCACGGTACTCTGTGACCCATCCAGAGCCCAAGGTACTTCGTTAACAAGTTCGTTTAGAGCCCCTACTGTACTGTGACCTTTTCGAAATCCAAATTGCTCAGCGACCAAAACTGAGTGTGCGTCTAAAAATGTAAAAATTTGATTTAGTGCTATCTTTTCAAAGATTTTTGAAAAAGAAGGAAGAACTGAAATAGGACGATAATTATTAGGACTTTCTTTTTGTCCTTTCTTAAAAAGAGGTTTTACTTCTGCAAACTTTAAATTTTGAGGAAAAACTGAAAATTTAAAAGATTGATTTATTAAAACCGATACAGGAACAGCAATAGAGTGCATTACTTTTTTCATAATGTCCAATGGTATTTCATCCCATCCTGCTGATTTTTTATTTTTTAATGACTTTATTGTTTTAATCACATCATCTGGAGTCACATTTGTGAAACTAAATTTTACTTGATTTAAATCAAAGTCAGTCTGAGTTAAGATTAATGCTTCCTGCTCACATGGTTGAATACTTATATCATTGCTCAGTTCAATAAATTTTTTGTTGAAAAAACTAGCTATATCATATCCATTTTTTATAGGCATACTGTTATCTATTACAATATCAGGAAAATTAAGACAAGGTTTATTACAACCGAGCTCAGATTTTACAACTTTCCAAGCAGCTTTACTTTAGCTGGTACTTACCACTGTACCAAACTTAACTAATTTAAAATTGTATTATTCTTTCAGTAAAAGTACGTAATTTTTCTTAGCGATTCATGTGTTTTTTGTAAGAAAAAAATAGTATAAGAAAACATATTTCTTTAATTTCAAATCAAAGCCAATAGCACGTCTCTCAAATGGATCTGACTAATAGTGTTCAATGAAAAGCGTTATAAGAACCATTGTATACAGACGATTTTGTGTGCCGTTTAAAGCCGCAAAATGGGATTGTTTAAAATACTAATTAAATAAAAAAGGTGCATTCCGTGTAGGCCTATCCAAGTCAGAATGTTTTGCAAAAAAAGGCACAAAAAACGTCCGTTAAAAGGGGTCGAAATAGTATATTTCGTACCTAGGGCCGAAAATGAGGTTTTGCCGGCTCGAGATAGTTCTTAGGTTCGAGACGAAGTCAACCTAAAACGATCGAGAGCTGCAAAACCATTTCGGTCCGTGGTACGAACGCTATTTTCCACCACACTATACCTTAATAGCACTATTCACCACAATAATGATGCACACTGGTACTCAACACAACTAGAACTTTAAGGTTATGTGAAGAAATCATTCGAGGAATCAGCAAAAATTAAAATAAATAGTTGCTAGGCAGCGGTGACAATAAAACAATTCTATTGCAATGCTATGGATACTAATTGTGTATTTAATAATGCATTCATGTTTAAAAAAGTAAGTGATCAGCGGGATCAGCCAAGTGATTTTGCGGCCCTAGGGATCTCGGTCCCCAAATGACGATGACAGCTGGCATGGCCAGCAAAACGTAACTTTCAGCCACCAATTAACGCATGTAAAGCAGCTAAAAACATCATAGTGTGGTGAAAAGTTATTAAATTTGTTGATGCAGCATGCAATATTACCGATTATTTTTCCACAAAACCAGCTGACAGGGCATGTATTGGCCATTGGAGTGATATTAGTGAGGTCGGGGAGTGCGTTGAAAAGTGGGAGCGGGAGGGGTGGCGGCAAACTTTGTTGCCTAGAGGCGGCAGATACTTAAATACGTCCCTGGTAACACTAGTGGTAAATCAAAGTTAGGTCATTTACAACTAAAGAGATCAATACTTATTGTGATCTTTAAGGAGATAAACGTGCAGAAAATATGAGACAATGATGCATGAAAAAGACAAGTATTATTAAGTGTTATTAAGTGGCTTGACCGAGACAGTAGTCTTGTGATAAATATACCTAACACTGGATGGATACCCTACATTAAACAAAATTGATGTAATTCCATGGGTATAATGATCCCTTGGCAAGAATTATTAACCCAATAATCGATGATAGTCTGCATTCGATTGAAAGATACAAAGACTGTCAGTAATTTGTCTCATTAAATTCCTAAAATCAATTAATTTATCTAAGTCATCAACCTGTTTACAATATGATAACTTATTTTACACTCCCTCAATCTTCAGTTGTGGCATAGTTCGATAGTTAAAATCTGAGATAAACGTTGTGCTTATTGCTTTATTATCTACTAAAGTGTTCCCATATTCATTTCTACCTGGTTCCCACCATCATGTGACGATATGTCTCAGCATGTGTTTTTAAGTCCTACCTTATACATTCTACACTATAGGCTCTAGCCAGAAACTTTTACACATTACTTCATAATCACTTATATAAGTACGATCAATTGGCGATTGGCAGGAATTTATCCCAGGACCTCAGGGACTAATGTCCTGCGCTCTACCACCAGACCAACTTGTTTCCCCAGTCTCGTCTAGTTTTTTTTGTACTAACCCTTGAAATGAATGTAAAATTTTACAGCAGAAAGTATTTTACCAATACAGCTAACAGTGATGTCAATACCTGATAGGCTCCCAAAAGCAGAATGAAGGCCAGACCGCAAGTCAGGATGTGAACGACAATCAGAAACATAGCCAGAGCCTTCAACGCTGTAAGCATTTCAAAAATTAAAACTTTTACATAAAATACAGTTTACAATAGTCCAGACTACCTTAGAATTATTTTTTAGACGGACTTAAAAGATTTTAAAAATATATATTTAGTGCATTCAAAGTTTTCTTCAAAAAAGAATATTTTTAAATAATGTACTTTATTGGATATGGTTCATTTTCCCCAGACCAGTCTTGACTCAAGAAGGCATTGGTGTTCATAATCTACAATTCACTCTTCCATTTCCCAGGAAATTATTATTGTCGTCAGTAAATGGACTGAACATATTTTTGGTATTTATTCATATCACACCTACTTAGGTACAGTTTTTGTTTATTAAATAATGTTATGTTGTAAAAAACTTTTTATTCATTGTTTTTGTTTAAAACTAATAGTCAGTGATTTTTCCCTCAAGTATTTTGTACACAACTTTTCACTCAATCATGATGGAAAATGTCTGCAATATTTTTTTCTTAAATAGCATCAAATCCGCATCACAAAAAAATAAAAATAAAACTTGAATATTGAGTGATTTTTTATTTTAACCACGTTTTCAGGGGAAAAGTATTTCTGTGTTAGAAATGGCAAAGAAATATGAACTTACCAGGCAAATGATCTAGGATTTCTTTTGACTCTGGGGAAGGTGTCTTCTCTGGGTGATCTTCTAAGTAATACAACGCTGTCAAGCTGGTTCCCATCAGTATGACCATCAAGATGCCACATATCTGAAAATATTTAAAAACCAACAATTTAGACGAGGCAAAGCAGACAACTTGAAAAATTACAGGTTTATTTACAAGACGGAAGAGATGGACCACCCAGATATATATTCTGCGGTTTTTTCCTTAAAAGATTTACTTAGATTTAACATTTTTTTGTGTATTACTAGCCAAGTAGTTAGCGTCTCGGACATCAAAGCGAGAAGGACAAGTTTGATTCCCGTGCCACAATGCCAGAGGTATATTAATTAAAAAATAGCAACCTCTTTGTGAGTCACCTGGTACATAAGCCCTGTATTGTGAGAATTTTAAAATCTATATTCGTTAAGTATCTGGACTAACCTTGATGATACAATGAATCATCCTTTTGGTAGGGTGGAAACTTGTTTGCTTAGATGAACAACAAACTTCACACCCAACAACTATCTCAACATATTTCAAATCATTAGTTTATGAACATCTCACTAAGTTGTAACATTTTTTAAATCTGGGTTTTTTTTTAATTTTTTAATGGATTTCTAGATTACTATAACTATATAACAAAATAAAACTACGATATTGGTGACAACATGAAAACAAGAATATATAACCCACCAGGCTGAGCCAGCCGATGATCTTCGTCCCAGTCCGCAAAGAACAGCCACAGCAGCAGGTGGTCAACTGGGGTATAGTAAAACCCATATTGGCTGAAACACAAATCCAAAATCATTTAATCAGGTTGATTAACAGAATAAAAATGTACATTTATTTCAATATTGTTAAACTGGTCATCCCGAACGATCAATGCACAATAAGCTTCGATTGACGTACCAGAACCCTGAATCATAACACGAAACAAAATAGAAACCACTAAATTTAAATCTTTGTCGTTGGAAGTTTTTTTAAAGAAAGTGAAAGAAATGTAACTTGTTTCCTGATCAATTTCCAACTTCTTTAACTGGCACCTTCAAATTAGTCCCTAAAAAGGTCAAAAATGTAAAAGAGATTTTTTAGATCACTTTAGTGAAGGCATCTAAATAAGGTACCTATCTAAATTATTAGTTGATTAGTAAAATACCCCCGCCGCAGCAAACCTGCCGACTAAGCGAATTTCCATTTGTCTGAATTGATTTTCAGTTAAATATATTTTAATAACATTAGGTTTAACGAGTACCTAGGTTTGCTGCTACAAGGAAACTAATAAGTGTGTTTTTGAGTTAAATTTTGATAGCTTAGTACAAAATAAATAAATTTGCCAAGTTTGATCAAAATATATCCATAAACAAGCAAACTACAACATTTGACAATATTCTCCATAAGAATAACATGGGAATTTTAAATTTAAAATTTTTTTAATTTTCTCCGTTACTAATAATCGAACAAAAATACTTTTATATACTAAATTATTTGTTTTTTTAAGCTCTTTAAAAAGGTCTAAAGAGAAATCGGGAAATTTTGTGTTTTGAGGGTCAAAAGTGAGAAAAACCAATTTTTACCCCATAAATCCCCCCGTAAAGCCCCGTTCCCATGGTCCGATCGTGCTGGTTCGCGAACTCATTCAAGTTTATCCCGCTTTACACCTTTAAACCAAATTTCATCAAAATCGGACAAAAATTACTCAAGTTATCGCGTTCACGGACGTATATATATATATATATATATATATATATATATATGTCTATATATATATATATATACATATATAAAAATTTGAACGAATGGTGTTTTTGGCCTCTGGGGACATCAAAATGAAAAAGTAAATCGGTCCCGGGTCTAGGTCTTACCGTGCCACCTACGGTAATAGCTACTTCCCTATAGGGAAATTCGCTAAAAACTTCACACACTATATCGACAGAACTAAAAGTAGAATAAACATGATACATTTGTAATCACATGTTTAATGTAAACAAAGCAGACGCTTTTCAATCCCAATGCATTTTAAATGGAAGATATTTTTTGTTATTTCTCATTTTCTGGTAGATTTGGACATGATTTGCTATTTTTCCCGACCCCCTGGGACCAAGACCTTTAATTTGAGCCCTCTCCCATCATCCTGCAAGCTGTCAAACTCTCACAATTTTGATTTTTTTAAATCGCTTACAGAATAATAATATAGAAATATAGAGTACAGTATATCTAAGTATATCTAGAATTTAAAATAAATTTAAACTGGAGTATTCAGTAAACTCATGCATATAACAATTATGACTTTTGTAGCAACAATTGTTTATATATTTTTTCAATTTTTATTAGTGTTTTTCTTCATTAGATTATTTTGTTACTTTATCATAAAGATTGATGCTAATGTTGACTTTTTTTTATATAGATAGCACCATTAATTGATTAAATTGGGTTTCCAATTAGCAGATAGCAATGTTTGAGGATTATTTTTACTCAGGTTACCATGCTTATAGACACATACATAATGTATATGTCAATATAAATTTGTCAATATCAACACGTTATTTATTTGAACGAATGGTGTACTTGGCTTCTGGAGAATTTAAAATGAAAAAGTAAATCGGCGCTGGGTCCAGGTCTTTGAGATCTACAGTAATACCTTTTTCCCTAATACGTAACAGAACGAACAGTATTAATGGTCTGATTTATAAATATAATTTTAGTAGAAGTTTAGATCTCTTGGTTTTACTGGATTTTTTGTAGGGCTGATTTTTTTTAATTTTCTTTACATTCTAAAATTTACACAATTCAATATCAGTTTTAACCCAAATACATTTGATCTTATCTCCCATTCTGTGGTCCTGTATATCTAATCTCTCATCCTGTGATCTTCTGGAAATAATTTGAAGCTGCAGGATATATAACTGCAAAATACCTCCTGCATTGATCCAATTGTAGCAAAATAAACAACACACCACTGAAAGAAAAAAATACTTGCTTTATTGTTTCCAAAAAGAAAAAACCCCATAGTAAGGGTACAAATCAACGATGGTTAAAAACCCTCTGTTGTGTTGTGGTTGGTATAATAATTTATCCTCAAGTGAATAGAGTATGAGATAAGAAAAGCTAATTCAAAAATATGTTCAATTTTTTTATGCCCCACCTTCACATCCTAATCCTATATAGTAGAACGCTAGTTATAGCCAGTTTTACAACTGTTTTACACATTACTTCAAGCTAGACCTAGAGGGTTGGCATTATCACATAGATAAAATCATAATCCATTGGTGATTGGCAGGATTTGAACCAGGGACCTCGGGCACCGAGCCCCCCTCCCTCACCACTAGACCAGCTCACTTCCCTCATATACATACACTAAATGCACATACACATATTATCGCCTTTGTACCGCAAATTATCACCTTGCAGCTTCCCACACACACCAATACTTTGGATTTGTCCAAGGTTACTTCATGGTTCTATTCGTCATAAAGTAAGAAGTACCTCTCCAGATTTTTGTATCATCTTTATTTGAATGGGATAAATAGTAAAAGTGAACAAAGCAAAAAACTTTAAATTAAAAAAGTGTATAACATGTGAAATTAAATAATAAATGTGAAAGACAAATCAAACTATATGTTGATAGTTGATAACATCTATCCCTTGAACATAAAACAAATATTCAATAAATTATGTACATTTATGGAAAAATCCGATGTCAATTATAATAATCATTAAAGCAATTAAAATTACTCAAACCGTAACAATAGTCAATGACCGTAGTTAAGGATAGCCTTCAAATGTGTATACTCATACTGATGTGAGAAAAAGTGTAGTTGTTGGAACTACATCTAATTTAATTTGTAATCATGTTTCATTTAAATGTCAAGTCTGCCTTAGTTATTAGTCATTTAATAAAAATATTGCATTATGCCCCTGAGCTGTTTCTACCCTTTTAGGTGGACTGGGCAGTATTATAAACTATCGTTGCTAATGATTTGTTAGGTTATCAATAAGGTCTTGACAAACATCAACACAGCTTGGACTGATAAGGCCGATGGCATTTACGGGTGATTCATGCAAATTGAATTATAAACTAAACTGTAGACGTGATTCTACAACATGATCTCGACAATGCATCAGCTGATCGACAATGAAGTAATGAAAGCAGGGATACCAACATATGAGCTAGTTTTGACAGTGTCTCGCAATGAATGTTTTCGTAAAAACAGTCTGTATTTAAAGCTAAGGATAGCGAACTTTTGACAAAACAGTAAGCCAGACACCAATCAACCGCATACTTGAATTATAGAGCTTGATGTGAAACTTCCCGGAAAAATATTGGGTTTTCGAAAACCCCTGTCAATTGGCTGTAACCTCTAAGAACAGAAACGTAATTGATCATTAACAAATGGTCACTGGCGCCCGTCTATACTGTAATAAAATGGCTATACTATAATATATAATGGCCGTAACAGCTGGTTTTGATATTTTGAAAGTTCTATTTCAATATTAATACAAACTAGGTGAAACCCGTCGAAATCGACGGTTACTTTCACGGCTTACGCTAATTCATCTAACTGCGATAAATTGAGTGAAATTATACATATTTTGAGCATTTAGCATTGTTTAAAGAGTAATAAGTGTAAAAACAATAATGATATTAATTGCGTTGGTTGCCAAATGGTTGATCATTCAATGAATAAAATATTTCCCATACCGTACGTCATCGGAGTTATTATTAGTATGTTAACTGGTATCTCTTCTTTTGGAAGAACCTTTAGATAGGTAGTATTAAAATCGTATTGTTTGATCTTTTATAGTTAAAAACTTCCGCGATTTCATCAGTGTGATAAATATTAATCTATGATTTTATTTGAGAAAAAATATCTGTTTGTTGAGAAGACACGTTCTAACTTCAAAGGGAGGTCCATCCGTTACAGTGCAAGTTTGATTTTTCCTTGGTCACGTCGCGTCAGTTCATATCGTACTTCTGTGCCAATGAATAACCCTCTAGCATAGTATTGAGAAATTGGTTGTGGGGTTACTGTTAAAGCTAATAAGACACTTCTGCACTTGTATTATTTTGTATTGTATTACACAATCGAAGATTTTCCTAATGATTGAAAACATGTATGACAATAATCTCAATAATATGATAAAATATAGCCAAAAGTGGTGAAAAAAGCAGACACCAACCCGTACAATAGATATAAGATAGTTCAATAAGAAATAATTGTAAGAGCTACTGTGATAAAAGGATTTTCCACTGATTTCGTAATGGAACGTTATATTGCAAAACACGACATGATACAGACGAAAATCAATTTTAAAATCAGAAAATAACATTGCAAATACTTCTTTTGGACAATTCAGTAACTCCCAATAAATGTGTGTTGTTTTAAAATACAATTTTAAAATTAACAGCTGTTTTATTAAAAAGTATTATCCACATGATGACCAAAATGTAAACAAATCTGTGAAGGGATCTTTAAAGGCTTCTGGGGCAGAGCCCTAAGCGAATTTACTTCGTTTTTCTTTTGATAACTCATCTACAGACCAAGACCTTTCTTTGGACACCTCTACCAAGTTTCTACGCCCAGCCGTTCTCTCAAATTAGTGGAGACAAAGTTTCCAATTAAATATTCAGATTCCCCCATGTTAATCTTATGGGAGGAAACCCAACTTTGATGGAAGATCCTGCCCAAACTAATAAAGATTTCAAAAAATGAAAAACACTTTGCAAAACTACAGATCAGAGCCATTTTTTTGACACTTTAATCATTAAAATCGGTCCAAAAATGAG